AAGCGATCACACCTCATATCTAATCTGGAGCTGGAGACTCTTTCGGCGGAGCTCAGCGCCGCATCGACCGCCGTCGGCGGCGAAGGCAGCCCCGCCCGCGCCGCCGCCGCCCCGAGCGGCACGGCCGCCGACGCGGCGAAGGCGTCCGCCGCCATCGTAGCCGCCGTCGCTGCGACGGCCGCTGCCGCCGCCAACGCTGCGGCGGCGGCGGCGGCCGCCGCCGCCGCCGCCGCCGACACGCCCGCGGCGGCTAAGGCTGACTCGGCCCCGGACGCGCGGTTCGGAAAGGAGGCGGGAAGCAAGTGGCGCGGCCAGCGGGCGGGCGTGTGTGAAGAGCGAGGTGTGAACAGCGGCTCTTCACACCTCCGGCTGTGAGCAGGCGCGGCCAGCGGGGCGGCTCTGTGCACGGGCGCCACGAGGCGCCGCGGCTGCAGACGAAGCTGTACAAGACCAAGCCGTGCCGCCGCTGGCACGCGCAGGCGCGAGACACCTCCGAGACACCTCCGAGACACTTCCGAGACACCTCCGAGACACTTTCGAGACACTTCCGTGCCGCCGCTGGCACGCGCAGGCGCGAGACACCTCCGTCGTCACACTTCCACTGTCCTCGCTGCGCCCGTGACAGAGGGCCGCCAGCGCCCAGACGCTCTCTAGCGGCCCCCTGTGCCGGTCCTCGCCTGCCTGACGTTTCGCTGCCGGCACAGCCCTCCTCCACCACCCTGCCCGCCCCCTCGCCCCACCAGACGCCGGGCCAGTGCAAGATGGGCGCCGCCTGCTTCTTTTACCACGGCGAGGACGACGTCTCCACCCCCGAGCGCCCCATCCCCGTGCCGAAGTGGCTCGCCGACCAAGCAAAGCAAGAGGGCATCGACGTCATCGAAGACGGGGTCGCGTTGAAGCCTAGAAGCGGGACACTCGCGCACTCTTGCCTTCCGGCCAGCGCTCGAGCGGACACGCACTCCGCTGGGTCTCGTCCGGAGTCCGCTGCATTCGCTCTCCTCGTAGCCGGCGTAGTTTGCGCGGTGCTCTGACACGCTCTGCACAGGACCGTCTTCCCACCCTGAGGCTGGTGAATTAGGTCGAGGATGGCCCGCGCGGCGGGAATCGGTCGTCCCCCGCGCCCCCCGCGCCCCCCGCGCCA